TTTTTTTTTTTTTTTTTTTTAATTGCTATTATTAGAGATGTGGTTACACTGTGTTGCCCAGACTGCCCTTGAATTCCAGGCCCAAGTGATCCTCTTGCCTTAGCTTCCCAAGTAGCTGAGACTATAGACTGGTGCGCCACTATGTCTGGCCTACTTTTTAGAAGTTCTATAGTTTTACCTTTTGTGTTTTGATCTATGGATGATGAATTCATTTTTTTTATTTGCAGTGAGTTGGATAGGAGTGTTTATTTTCTTCTAAATGAATATATCTTCTGTAGAATGGAATGGTGTTATGTCACCATTAGTCAAAGAGACCATTATTTCTCTCATTGAAATAATTTAGTATCTTTATCAGAAATTAATTTACTATACTATTTGCAGAGTATGTCTTTTCATACCCTTTTCCTTTTTTTTTTTTTTTTTTTTGTACCAAGGATTAAACACTGAGCCACATCCTCAGCCCTTTTTATTTTTTATTTTGAGACAGGGCCTCACTAAGTTTCTTAGGGTTGCTGAGGCTGGCATCAAACTTGCAATCCTTCTGTCTCAGCCTCCTGAGCTGATGTGTGCCACCATGCCTTACTACCTTTTTACTTTTAACCTGTCTTTATATATACATATATATATTTTTTAATTTTTTCAACTGGTTTTCAAAATAGCTGGGTGTTTTTTTCAAATCCATTTTGACAATCTCTGCATTTTAATTAGAATTCCCTGAACATTTATTGCTAATGTATATATTGATATGATTGAGTATATTCTCATTCCTAATCTTTTTAAAAATTAATTAATTTATTTTAATTAGGTATATATGACAGCAGAATGCATTTTGATTCATTCGTACACAACTACAGCACAATTTTTCACTTCTCTGGTTGTACACGATGTAGCGTCGCACCATGTGTACAGTCATACATGTACCTAGGGTAATGATGTCCATCACATTCCATCTTTCCTGCCTCCTCCCCTTTGCCCTATCAAAGATCCTCCATTTTTCCCATGTCCCCCCATTATGGATCAGTATCCTCTTATAAGAGAGAACATTTGGCCTTTGGTTTTTTGGGATTGGCTTACTTTGCTTACCGTAATATTCTCCAATTCTATCCATTTACCTGAAAATGTCATAATTTTATTCTCTTTTAATGCTGAGTAATATTCCACAGTGTATATACACCATAGTTTCCTTATCCATTCATCTATTGAAAGGCATCTAGATTGCTTCCACAGTTTAGCTATTGTGAATTGAGCTGCTATTTACATTAATGTGGCTGCTTTACTATAGTATGTTGATTTTAAGTCCTTTGGGTATAGATCAAGGAGTGGGATAGCTGCATCAAATAGTGGTTTTGTTACAAGTTTTCTAAGGAATCTCCATACTGCTTTCCAAATAGGCTACACCAATTTGTAATCCCACCACTAATGTATGAGTGAACCTTTTCCCCCACATCCTCACCAACACTTATTGTTGCTTGTATTCTTGATAACTGCCATTCTGACTGGAGTGAGATCAAATCTTAGACTAGTTTTGATTTGCATTTCTCTAATTACTAGAGGTGTTGAACATTTTTTCATATATTTGTTGATTGAATGTGTATATTCTTTTGAGAAGTATCTGTTTAGCTCCTTAGCACATTTATTGATTAGGGTTTTTTTTTTTTTTTTTTTTTTTGGTGTTTTTTGAGTACTTTATCCTGGAGATTAGTGCTCTAACTGATGTGCAAGTGGCAAAGATTTTCTCCCTAAATGTAGGCTTTCTCTTTACCTTATTGATTGTTTCTTTTGCTGAGAAGAAGCTTTTTAGTTTGAGTCCATCCTATTTATTAATTCTTGATTTTATTTCTTGCGCTTTAGGAGTCTTGTTAAGGAAGTTGGGGCCTAAGCTGACGTGATGAAGATTTGGGCCTGCTTTTTCCTCTATTAGACACAGAGTCTCTGGACTCATTCCTAGGTCCTTAATCCACTTTGAGTTGAGTTTTGTGCGTGGTGAGAGTTAGGGGTCTATTTTCATTTTGCTGCATATGGATTTCTTAGAGGTAAATAAGAACTCCCATACAACTTATCAAAATCTCTGAGACACTATGAAGGCAGTGCTAAGGCAAAAGTTTATTGCTTTAAGCTCATTCATTGAAAAAGGAAAAAGTCAACAAATAAATGACCTGACATTACATCTCAAAGCTCTGGAAAAAGAAGAACATACCAACCCCCAAAGTGAAAGGGTAAAGTTTCTAAGCTGGAAAGCTTGAATGTAAAAGATTAAGTATTAAGTTCCTCTGTTACACCCAGAACCTGGAATTCCTGAGATAGTTAAAACAACGCCCTACTGGCCATTTAGCCTAGGGCCCTGTGCAGTTTGTCACAGGGCCCGAACTAATCAGTTTGAATGTGTAACCCGCTTACGAATGACCAATCACCCCTGCCCGAGCTGTTCCCGCCAATGAATTTGCCAATCACATCTCAAAGTTGTTGTTCAATTTCCCCGCGCCTCATGATGATTTGTTCTGATGTATGCAAAGCCCACCGCCCTCTCCAAAAAGTGTACTTAAGCTCTGCTTGACCTTTGCTCTGGGCTCTGGGCTGCTCTCCCTCCTTGAGTGAGCACAGAGTCCCAGCGCGCTGGAATGGATCCCCAATAAATCCCCTTTTGCCAATTGCATGGAGTAAGTCTCTTGTGTGGTCTCTCCCTCCGATGATCCGCTGGACTCCCCTTACAAAAGTAGTAAAAGATAGAAAATAATTAAAATCAGGGCAGAAATCAATGAAATTGAAACAAAAGACACAATTCAAAAAATTGACAAAACAAAAAGCTGGTT